GATTTTATCACACACTGAGAGCCAAGCACTGGGAAATGTGCACAAAAGCACAGTTAGGTCATGGCAGTTACTGTATAATAATGTAAGAACCCTGACAGTCATGCAGGTATATCACCTAAGAAATATAACATGATGCAAGAATACCTCTTAGATTTCTACTACCTCTGTTAGGTATTTGCGGGCTGAATGAAAAGAAAAAAAAATACATAATAAAGATAATTAAGTTAATTGCAAGGATGCATAATTATATTAGTGATCCAAGCAAAAACCCCGCCCCTTTGCTCCTGTCCTAAAACACAGACATATATGCTAATTTATCATGTTATTCTCTTTATCTTCATTAATATCTTTTTATGTAGTCATATGGCATAAATGGCTGTTCATAAACACCAGACAAATGAATAATAAATACTTGTATCTATTCTTCTTTGCAGGCGACATGTTTATTGTATAAGACAAAGCAATCAATCCCAGGTACTATTAGTGTCACTGTTTGATGCACACTTATCTACATATATGCATGACAGCTCATTCCAGTAACCCAAAGTGTCACTGCACTAAAATTTTGATTACCAAAATGTATTTCCGAACAATGTACACATACATAATGTGAATGTAACGTCACAATTTGTTTTGACATTAGTTACTACACATAATATATATGACTTATAAGAGGACAAAGTATTATATTTAGCACTCAATTCATTTGTGTGTTTTAAAAATAATTTCCAAAAGCTAAATAAATGATAATCGTGGTGCTCTAGGCAGTTTATAAAGTTTCATTCAAACTGATTAAGGTGACTGATTAGGAGGAGTTAGGGAACATACAGACATAGAGAATAGACATTATACATATACATGGTCTTAAAATGACAGTCGTGATTTTTACAACATTAAATTCTCTGACAGTGTATCAGCAAACAATTGTTCAGTATTTTAAATAATCTTTAACAACTTGAAAGCTGAAGAAACTTAAATACTTTACCATGTTTACTCATCATATAAACCGAGTCCTATTTGACTGACATTCACTGACCTTGTTATTATCTGACTCTTACACTCCTACTTATGTGCTCTGATAACAATTAAAAGAAAAAACAGTGTCATTGGGTTTTGTGTACAGTGCATGTGTGTTCCTTTTTTTATTTAGTGAAAAGGTATTTTGCTCCTGTTGTGTGTGTATGTGCGTGTGTGTGTGTGTGTACGCTCTCTGACCTCGTTCTCTCAGGTTGCGAAATAGTTTGGAGGATCCTCTCCACACGGGAGGAGTGTCTGATAGGATCTTCTCCAGCTCCTTACAAACACACAATAAAAAGGTAAGATAAACTCTAAAAACACAGACCTCTAACTTCAAACTTCAACTTTTACACACACCGATCCAGCGCAAACAGGAAAGGTTAGCATGCCGTGGAAAGAAGGAAAAAAAAAAGCTTGGCAGGCCAACTATTTTATTATTGTTATTAATGTGGTATTTTATATGACTTGTATAGAAAGGAATGTATGTATATATATTTTTTTTTTAATTGACACAAAGACTGCTTTGAAGAAAGAAAAAATAAAGTACCAAAAGTAGCCTGTGGAGGTTTTGACCATTTGTGGTGCTGTGAATTAGGGTTTGAGTGGAGTCTACATTTTTCTTAGATTTCACACTCCAGCAGCACAAGAATTTCCTTACGGATTCTTAAAAAGAAGTTACAACACTTAACAAAAATGTAAAAACCTCCAAAAGTTGATTCTGTTTATCTGGACGTAGCGTTTTCAGTGGGAGAAACGTTTCGTCACTCATCCAAGTTCTTCAGTCTCAGCTGACTGCAGGTTTCCCCAATCCCCAGTTCATTTGCATAATGACCGAAACCAGCCCACTGAAGGGACAATGGGAGGTCAGTTCCTTCATCTTAATTATGCAAATTCTCATGACCATTGATCAACAACCACTGATCGAAGCCCACTGATCAATGGCCACCAGTACCATTCACAGAGAGTTGGGGAATGGCTGCAATCACAGCATTGTAAGATGGTGAAAGATGTACCCTTAGGCCCCCCTCCATTGAAAGAGTGTCCACTGGCCTGTAGGTGTGAATAGACTGCAGAGTCCTGGCCTGACGAGGTAGCTCTTCTGTGTTGTGCCATCCGCTTTGCCAGAAGTTGTTTGGTTTCCCCGATGTATAAATCCTGGCAATCGTCCTGGCACTTAACAGCGTACACTATGTTACTGTGTTTGTGTCGGGGGACCCGATCCTTGGGGTGGACCAATTTTTGGCGCAGTGTGTTTTGGGGTTCAAAAGTCACAGAAACACAGTGTTTAGGAAAAAAAACAGAATCAACTTTTGGAGATTTACTTACCTGGATGATTGAGCATTCATCTAAAGAATGTAAAAATTACTTGTGTCTAAAATCACTGTTTAAATGTTCAAATCCTTTTCAAAATCTATTTTATGGTCTGATTTTACGTTAAACAAAAGATTAAACAAGTTATGCTTCAGAATGTAGCCATCTTGTTATTAATAAGATACTGTATTACGGGCATGTGTAGCATCCTCAGGTTCCCTTTCAGATTTGATGGATGTTATCAAATTTAAAAAATTAGGATCACAATAATGCAACCCTTCAACACAAGACTTTTAAAAAGTGGCTGATTTTATATACAGTTTATATGAATAAAACTTAATGTAAACTGTGTCACAAACTGGCTCAAAGAAGGTGAGAAAAAGGGATTTCACACAAGAAGCTCACGTAGATATAAAATAATTTATTATACATAACCTAACCGAGACACAAAGATTGCTAATAAGTTGATGTCAGGTGGAGTGGAAGACAGAGACTGAGTGGTTCACCTGGGCCGGCTTTTATAGCCCGCAAGACACAGGAGACCTGCATTAAGTGACCATTGTCCAGTGCCAGCCAAACAGCAAGCCATAGCTTTCATGAGTGTGGGAGGGTGTGCAACATGAAAACTGCACAGGGTACTGAGATTATAACCAGGTGAGTACTGATGTGGCGATATCCTGTATTTTCACATTCAATGGTATGATCTACAGTTTAAATAAAGCTAAAGATCCTATTTGTGCTGTATGAAATTTTCAGAGCCTCAGTATTTTGCATACAGTATTTCTTTAATGCACTTACATTTTTACATTTGGATTTTAAATTAGTAAACCTGATTATTGCTGAACTTAGAGATAATCTGCAATACATACGTATGAGGAATCATGACATTTGTATGCAGAAACTCATGACAAATACTAGGAAAATAGGTTTTAAACTTTGCAGTGTATACTGATTTAGATGTAACATGCAACAGATGTCTGTCTGCAATATAGAGGAGCACGAAAAACAGTTAGAGTGTGTTTCCCACCTGTTTTGTCAGGGACCTCCAGGGCCTCTTGCCTGCCAGGGAAACGAGACAAAAGAGAAGAGAAGAAGAAGGGAAAGAGGAGAAGAGAGTTTGGGTGGGCTCAGTCAGATAGCATCTGTGTGATCTAGAAATGGGTCTTAATGTGCCAGGTACAGTCACAACACACACACACACAGGCACACTCATTTTATATACACTGTCATCATCACAGGCCCATTTGTACCATCTCAAGTGCCCTGTGCTTGTCTTTGTAGTATGTGGAATGTCCCTGTAAAAGCACATACTACTTTTGTTCTGTTTTATACAACAAAGTTCATCTAATTCAACTTCAAAGGGGCCATTCGAGGATGTCAGCTGCCGAGAGGGCATGTGCGGCTGTATCGTATGTCAGCGAGCCAAGGCTAGATGTAAACACACACATACAGGTGCACAGTTTGCACGCAACGCAATTATATATCCATTAAATAAATAAATAGCAGCTTTTTGTTTGTGATAACTTCCACATGTGAAGAGATACTTAAAGCAGTGGTCGCACAGGAAAATTTTAAGATGATTCTCCAGATTAGATATTTGCAGGGTAAGAGAAAGGGTACATGAGAGCAAATGGAATGTGTGTGTCTGACTAACATTAACCACAGACTAAACAATAGCTTTAAAGCCACCTGCTTTGAAGAAGCCAGCCAGGGCTAATCTGTTACAAATGACAGTGGGCCAACAGAAATTGCAAAGATGTGTTTTAAAACCATATTTTTAAAGTTTTTTAAGAGATGGCAAAAAATTGTATACCTGGCACTGAAATACATAGTTTAAAATACACACAAATATTAACAAAATAGCCACTTCACGTGGTTATCAAAGTAAAGTAATACAAATATAAAACCTGAAATTGTAATATTTAAAATCAACCACCAAACAGGGATCAGTAAACATGAGGTATTCACTGTCAATTAAATTATAAAAACAAAGGGTTCAAGTATCCAATCAAATCTTGCTTGAATTTAAATGTAATTTATACCTTAAATTCTTGAAGTATAAATTAGCTTTTCCCCGTCCTACACTATAGACTTCCTATCATTTTATGTTTCTCCATGAATCCCAGGAACCTCTGAGGTTGCTATTTTACCTTATCAAACACTATGTGTACTTAAGAGCCATTTGAAGAAACGATTTGTAAGGCAGTCATTTGTCTTACTTTTCATATTTACAATTTCTCATTGAAAAGAGAGAGGCGCTGCCATCTAGGCTTGTGTAGAGTAGCTGCATAAGACTTTAGACCCAGCTGGCATGTTCATTCATTAAAAATGAATGATTCATTTAATCGACTTGTACTTCTAGCACCGATTAGCAAGAGCAGCAACATTTAAGTCAATTAATCATGTGCATAACTAAATTAAAATGTTTCAAAATATGACAGAAAGCCTCTTTAGATGTCAGTGTTAGCTATTACAAAAAGGTGGAACGCTGCTTTTAAATAGCAGACCTACTGATTGGTGGATAACTTTCTGTGAACATTCAAACTCAGCTGTTCAATCTAACCTTTAACTGACAAGTCTTTAAGTCTGTCTGTTATAGATTTTCTTTAAAACATTTAATTATCCTTGCAGCTGAATTGCAAAGCACTTCGAGTTGTATTTATATAAATAAAAGTTTTTAATGGCAAAAGAAGCATAGAAGTTTACAGTGGTGACTGATTTTAGCATTTTTTCTGCATATTTCCATCTTTATTTTTAGCACTCTGACAGAACTAATTTATTTGTGGACAACCAGCTAGCCCTGCCCCCTTCCTGTGTTTTCCCTACGGGAAGACTCACTGGCCAGCTTGTTTGCTCAGTCTCGGCCGTGGTTGGACAGATTCCAACTCCACCATTTTGGACTGCATGAGTAGACCTTGTTTTGCACCAGAGATCTGGAAGCCACCCTAACCTGAACCAGGTGGACAAATGGTTCATGTGCCACTATGCAGAGTTCACTGAGACTGCAGAGCAGAACCAGGTCTACCAGCTACAGTCCAAGACCATGGAGTTAATAATATTCAATAATAGGATATAGGAGAGACTGTGAAGATACAGCTGATGATATTGTTTGGTTATGTGTTTCATAGAAATAGCCAGCAGCACGATGGTTTAGTGGTGACCACTGCTGCCTCAGGACAATTTAGGTTCATGCTTAACACCCCTGTAAAAGATATTCTCAAGACATTCAGTTCTTGGTTAAATAAACTTCCCTCCTCCTTGGATCTTGGTTGAGGAGGGGAGAAATTTACAAACTGCATTTTCTGGTAGTTCCCCTGTGAAAGCAATCCTTTGCAGTGCTGAGATATATACACGTCCCATCAAAAGCAGAATATAAATTTGTGTTAAATGATTGATTTAAATGAAGCAGTCAAGTACTCTGGGTACATGTCATATATGCAGATTAAGCAGATAAAATAAGCCCCAAATATTTTTGTCTTAAGGAGACATAATTTTGAGAACAACAGAAAACAAGCTATTTTTTCATACGTACTTCTCGGTTCACTCATGGTAACCGACTCGATGAAGTTTTGTGGGGTCATGTACAGCTGTCCTTCATACTCCACTGAGCTGAACAAGCGGAAACGATGTTCATGGGAAGACATGTACACATCTCCATCCTCAAAGTCAAATGGACGTGCCTGCAGAGAAAACCCATAATAAAGAAAAGAAAAACAACAAAACAAAGTATATGCATTCCACTTATACTGTTAAATAACTATCCTAATTCTCATATTAAGTGATTAAAATCAGGGATAAGCAATTAATGTTCCACTTGTGTCACAGTGGACATAATGTGAATGCGACCTGTGACAGATTTCTGTGCACACAAAGCAATTTCTATAATGAGGAAACTCATCTATTCTTGGCATCAACTCTCTCCATTTAGCTCCCTGTGGTTATAAATAGAGCGAGCGCCGCTGGCACAGTGCAGTAATGGGAAAATGGGCACACATGCACAAAAATACTTTGTCACTACTTTCTACTTGATTAGCATCTGTCTCTCACTCTCTCTCTCGCTCTCTGCAAGCAGCCAGTGCTTCAACTTGATTAGCTGCAGAGTAGGAGAGCTTCTACACCAACCGACTATACTGCGTGAAACTGTATAATTAACAGAGAGGCTTCCATATTTAAACCTGTTTAGCTGCAGGCCCCAGCACACAGTGGTTTCGGTTCCGCTCAGCTAACATGCTAATGAGCATACAGATTCATTCATAAAGCTTTGATGATGCCTGCACCAAGGGGGGCTTTTGAAAGCGTGAATTGGAGATCAGTGCTTGGCTTCATGGGAATGCACCCCACTCAAAAGTAAGAGCATAGGCACCCATGGCTTTAACTCTCACTAATGAATGAAGTTTAGAAAGTTTTGCAAAGGCAGCTAGGTTCACATGCCATGCTGCACAACATGAAAAAGAAATGTAAGAAAAACCAATTAAATTGCAGAGATTAGAAAGTAGATTCAGTGTGGCTCACTGCTTTGTGTCTTGACTACAACTAAAACTTTCTGTTGTCTTTTCACAACTGCTCAGCAGATGCTCCAGGTGTTTTCCCCTCGGGCAACGTTGTGTGTTCCCTTCGCAGCTGCAGCTCTGTAACCCTTCTGCTCAGTTTCACGCTTAAAACTGTCACTGTCTGCTAAACTTTTGGATGAATAATGATGATATTTTATCCAAAAATCCCAGTATCAATTCTGCTTATAGGTGTGATTCTTCATCAGTTGACTTATTGATCCATAAACATTTTTTTGAACGAAAAAAGTGGCTTTTGCAGGTCAACAACTATTTTGTTCTCTCTGAGTCTAAACACAGTGAAGCAACAATACAAATGAAAGCATAGGACTGTTTGCACATGTGGAAAAGCACCACTACCATTATTATTTTAATGTTACTATTCTGCACCATTCTGTCATTTACAGTACCATTTAGGGTACATAAACCCTTTTATATATAAGGTGTATTACCACTCCAGGTTGCTGGGCTCCCTCCCATGTGTGGTTAACTATTAGTGTGTGCTGCTCTGCTTTGGTGCCTGAACCTGTTCTTTGTCGTCCAATTGCCATCTGTGATTGGTCCATCCCAGTCTCCAGCTACAACCACAACACGGCTGATTATGGCAACTGTTTCACAAGTCAAAGCTTGTAATTTGTAGCAGCTGTGATTTCAAGTGAGCAGCCTGACCTGTGCCTCTTTCTGGTTTGTTCTTAAATTTCAGGTTACTTCTTGTCTTTTACCTTTGTAAAAGATAGACTGTATCTCAACAGGCTTTGTGTACCCTTGGATGGTTATGTACTTGCTTGTAATTTTGGGGTCTATATTTGTTTGTTTTTCTCCATCTGAGACACCTTCAAGGCACTTACAGCCAGGCAGGAAACACTGTAACACATTACACTGGTAGGAGCTTCTTTTGTCAGATACAATGTAATAGGTGTGCAGCTTCCTTTTCTAGTTTATATTTTTGATAGGACGGTTTTAATTTCTTTCTTATGAACTAGAAAACTCAGGCTTAGCATTTAAACTTTTGCTAGAAGTCATTTTTTATATTAATTGGTTATTTTAAATAGACATTGGTTTTGTAAAGGGGTAATCCACCAGTTTTACACGTATTAACTTTGTCTGCAGGTATACTTCTTCATATTTTAAAAAATACTATCTCAAACATTCTTTGATAAACCCTCTGTGCCACCAGTGAACTCACCCTTACACTTCTGAACCCTTTAAGAGCCAAATGATCGTGTGAACATATATCCGATACCCATTCAGCACAAGTCTCAACTGCCCCATATTTTTTTCTGCCTCTGTGGCTTTCTTTTACCAGAATAGCTGCAGTGAGGTTCAGTCACTACAGATGAGTCATCCAACTTTTTGAGGCAAATTATTCAGATTCCATTTCCTTCCCCAGTAAAGTAAAATTTATGTCTGCATCTTCTAAAATGCCCCCCTTCCCCACCCCACACCCACACCCCCAACTCCCAATACACTAAAAAAACTGCGTTTTCGTCTGAAAACGCTCCACGTCCACACTAGCGTTTTCAGCTGTTTTCACAGAGTTGTGCGTCCACATTGAAACGGCCGAAAACACTTACGTTCCAGTACTGAGCGTGTGTGAAGCGCAAGAAGATTCGGCCTGCCTCATTTCTGTCAGCCGTTTATTTGCTTTGAATCGTTGAAACATGGTGGCAAAAGGTTGAGGAAAAGCAACGAGTTTTTTAAATGGACTCACAATGAGGTGACGTTGTTGCTGTGAGTAACACAAAAGTGCAAAGTTGCAAAAGCGAGTAAGAATTAAATAATTTGAAGAAAAGCTATCTGGAGCATGTACAAACTGATATTAATCTTTAATAGGGCTGTCAAAATTGAGAGCAAACAAAACAACTGCTGTATAATGCCCTCCGCTATCTTTGTTTAATTGGTCACATGATGCATCACATGACTAAAATGTGTCACCCTTCTAGAAAGTCTCCGTTTTCCCTGTCCACACTGCGACGCAAACGCATCGTCTTCAAATGTATTCGTTTTCGAGAGCGTTTTCAAATTGCTGCGTTTTTCCTTGGGGAAAACGCCATCTCAGGCTACGTCCACACGTACCTGGGTATTTTTGAACACGCAGATTTTTCTATGCGTTTGCACCTTTCGTCCACACGTAAACTGCGTTTTCGGTCACTGAAAACGGAGATTTCTAAAAATGCCTGCCAGGGTGGATATTTTCGAAAACTCAGTTTTTGCATTTACTGTGGACGAGAAAAACTGAGAAAACGCAGCGTCAAAGGTGTGCGCCTTTTTGACGTCACACTGTGCACCACGTTATTGTTTCGGTGCAATGAATTTCTACAATACTGTTACTGTTAATTGTACTTTCTGCAGTGTTTAAATGCTTACACATACACACACAGTTACTGTTCCTCCACACATACAACTTGGTTCTGCTTCTACGCCCCAGCTTTGTTTACTATTTCCTACCGAGGCTTCTAGACTTCTGATTGGCCAACATTTCTACACGGTTAGGAATATATCGCCACCTGTTGCTTTGGCATGTTCCTAGCAGCGTTTTCCTTCATTTCTGCGTTTATGTGTGGACGGGATTATTTTTTAAAACGAAAACGGAAAATCTCCGTTTTCAAAAATACCCGTGTACGTGTGGACGTAGCCTCAGTGTGGACTGGAGGCCAAAACGGAGAGAAAATGATGCGTTTTCAAACGAAAACGCATTAGTGTGGACGTAGCCTAAAGAAGCAACATTGCTGGCTGAGAAGACATAATTTTACATTTGCAATCTGGATAGATATGCAAATGGTGCCACTGAGCTACTGTCCACTTCAATGAGCTACTAAATGCAGTTTGTATCTATAGCCAATTATGTGCAAAAGTCTTAAGCCACCCTCCATTTCTTTATATTTTGCTTCCAAGGAGCCAGGCTTTCCTTTATTTTTTTCAAAAGTTGTGAGCAGTTCTTCTCCAGATTTTCTGAAGGTCTTTCAATGCTTTTTCACTCTGCTTTTAAATTAACTTTCAGTCCAGGCCTTCTACCGGACCATTTTCAATTTTTTTTTTTTTGTTGCATTAGAAGAGCACCTAACTTAAGGGATGAACCAGCATCGTGTTTGCACACAACAGACAACTTAGCAAAGAACCAATTTGTAGGAAAATTAAATAGTTGCAATGATTCATTGAAACATGCTAACATGGAAGCGTGGGATATAAGGCAAAAACAGAGTTTGTACATTCTCATAAGCTGGACAGGCAATACTATCTTAGGCAAGCTTTCTGAGCGACATTTGAAAGCTTTTTTGGATATTGGTGGCTCCACTACATTAATAATATTCAGGTCTGGACTCTGGGGAGGCCAATCCATGACTGATGGTGTTTTACTGTGTGTTTTTCTATCAAGGTATGCTTCACTGGATTCACAGTGCATTTGTGATCATTGTCATGATGAATAAATGAAGCCATTGCCATTCAAATGCTTTCCAGATGATTTTAATACCTCACCCTTTTCTCCTTGTTTCTCTTCCTTAAGAATGGCTTCTTGACAGCCACCCTTCCATTAAGACCTTTTCTAATGGGGCTTTGGCAAGCAGTAGACAGATTATCGAGATACTAGATGCATCTCTCAGGTCTTGTGTCGGGTCTTTGGAAATGTTTTAATGTATGATTTTTTAATAAATATCAGATATTGTTCAACTTTTGTTGATAGTTTTTTTAGGCCTGCCATTTTAGGCCTGCTAAGGATGCACTGCATAAATAGTGAGATATGCTTAGTTTTCTGCTAACAGGTCTTTGACAATCACCTTTTGGTGCAAAAGTATAATTTTATGCCTGTTATACTTTGTTATCGTTGGTGCTTTTTAATATTTTCAATTAAAGTCATTATTCAATACATTGTTATTGTTAACCCTTTAAATCCCCGTAGAACCGGAACCGCGTAAGCTAGCGCAATAATTT